GACTTAAGGTCCTATGGACAAGCAAAGGCTAAATAAGGTGGCCATTTACCAGGATAAATCGTGAAATTCTTATACAAAGTAACCCAACGACAATTACCCACGAATGCATCATTTTCCTGGAAATCCATATCAGCTAAACGCCTTCGTCGGGCCACATTAATAATAATAATAATAATAATAATAATAATAATAATAATAATAATAATAATAAATTTTATTTATATCCCGCCCCTTGTTGAAAATCCCAAACTGGATATAAGATAACAGATTTTTGTAGCCTGTGAGTCTTGGACCCATTTCTTCATTACAACTAAAGGGGAAAGCAGCTGAAAATTGATCTCGAGCCAATAATAAACGGCTGTTTTCTGAGCCAATGTTTTAACTGAACAGTATGTAGATTCCATATGTATAACAGCCTTAGGGGTAGATTTGGGGACACCCAAAGATCTTGTACTGGATCCAAAACCGCCATGTCTGAGTGGACCCATACAACAACTGGGCAATAGTTTACTCTTGCACAGCTCAAGGAATGGCAACAGAAACCTTCCGCCAAAACCTGCTGCATATCGGAAAATAGCATTATTGGCTGATGGTACAGTAGATTTCAAGTGTGTAGACCAACATCCACAAAAGTTGTACAGTGGGCCCTCCACATTTTCTGGGGCTAGGTGCATGGGAACCCCATGAAAGTGGGGAAACGGCAAATAAAAACATACTAGATTTTGTTTTTTAACCTGGAGAGACCACAACTCTGCGGTCAACATATGTCAAAAGTTGACCATAGAATCATGCAGGAGGACCTACAAATGCCTTTTCTCTTCTAGGTCCTCCAGCCCAACTCTGTGGTCAATTGCTGGCAGAATTTCTCTGGAGGACCTAGGGATTCCTAGAGAAAACCTATTGATCGCATCCACAAATAAATCAGAACCACAGGAGTCGAAGCCACAAAAGTGGAGGGCCGACGGTACACACATTTAAGGAAGGAACTGGCCAAACCACCTGGGAGTATTCCTTGTCCAAGAAAATCCTATGAAATTCACGGGGTCACCATAAACAGATGGGCATCTTGAAGGCGTACGGTAGAAAGCGGTCAGAAAATAAAGACCATTTTACAGGTGGATAGACTCAGTCAAGAATGCCATGGCGCTTTTTTAAAAATATTTTATTAACATGTATTATTCAAATATACATATCAAATTGAAATATTAATGTTTTTACCATAATTATATTCAAAATATTTAACATTTGACTTCCAAAGTATCTCCAGTTTGTACTCAACCATATTTCAAAGTTCGCTCATTATCTTCATATACAAGCAATGTCTCATATTAACTCCACTGTGCGTTATAACATCCGCTTTAACTATTTTTGATCTTTAATAATAGCTCTTACAAATGTTTTCTATTCATATTCACATACTATTTTTAAATCAATAAATGTTTTACATTTTCCAATCAATTTACCTCTACTCAATGCCATGGCTGACCTGAGTTTGCAAGACCTGAGCAGCCAGGGCTGCTGAGAGCAAGGAGAGTTGGAGATCTCCATAAGGCAGCGATTCAAGGGATCACCAGAAGTCAAAGTCAACTTGATGGCAATTAAAAACATACACCACCGCAACACCCCTAGTAAGACCATATGAGTCCAATAACTAACCTCCCAGTAGCATTATTCAACAACTACTACTCAGAGGGATATTGCTTCAATTTGTTGTTGCATGAATTCAGGTTATTTCCGACTTATGGAGACCTAGGCTTTCAGATGTGGAATAAACTCTGTTTGTCACTTTACCAAAAAATCCTAATTAAAAATGACTGTAAATAAGCTCAAGCTTTATTTTATTTCTGCATCCAAAAAGCTATGATATTTTTTGGGACTATTTGTTTCACCGATTAAACAACTACAGGTGAGTCTCAATTTACATTACCCGCCATTTACCACATTTGCAAATTTGCAATGTTTATGGATTGACAATTGAGCGATTGCACTTATAGCTGACCTTTCTCCCCAAATGGGATCCAAGGTGGCTTACAATAATTTTAAAAATATTCAACTAAAACATTAATTCACAAAGGTTAAAAAGGAATTAAGCATTGACTTCCTGACAGTGAGAGCTGTTCAACAATGGAACACACTCCCTTGGAGTCTGGTGGAGTCTCCTTCTTTGGAAGTCTTTAAACAAAGGCTGGATGGCCATCTGTTGGGGATGCTTTGACTGTGAGTTCCTGCATGGCAGAATGGGGGTTGGACTGGATGGCCCTTGGGGGTCTCTTCCAACTCTATGATTCTATGGAACAATGGCATCATTACATCGTAATAGTGAAAATATTATCACAATGTGCACTTCTAGTTGGTATTTCTCGCATCAGGAAACTGCCATTCTCCTGTAACTTATTAACAGTAAGACCCCGTGAATAACTGGCCAATAATGCTGTAATTGCACCATTAAAGTGACATGGAAGTCAATAATAATAATATAATAATAAATTTTTATTTCTAGCCCATCCCTCTGCTTTGCAATCGTGGAGCTCACCTCATTGAGTTTGCTTCTTTTTTCGAATCCCAGATTGCTGTTCAGCAAATGAACATCCCATGGGTCACT